GTATGAGGGTGGTTTGTACGGTTTACACAAATGAGGACGGTTTTCATTTGAACGCTCCCCTATATATATATATATATATATATATATATATATGTATGTATGTATGTATGTATGTATGTATGTATGTATGTATGTATGTATGTATGTATGTATGTATGTATGTATGTATGTATATTTATTTTAGTATTAGCAAACTTAACTTTTTTAACTTATGGGTTATGACCCAAATATATCCCTAAGCTCAACATAAAGCCAGACATCTAACATAATCAAATCCAAAAGAATCGCCGCCTAAAAATCCCTAAACCAGTAAACATATCGACACATTTGACATTGGCGTTCTCCAAATTTTGAAATCCTTCAAGAACTCTATCAATCTATCGATCTTTCCTAATCCATGGTTTGATTTCGGCACACATCATCAAGACATAAACCAAATGATTCAACCAACTAAGATTTGTCTTCTATTTTGTTTGGTCAAGAATTGAAGGTTGTAAAGTCGTGGATTTTGTTACTCAATACTCACACTAGAATTGTAACTTTGTTAATTTCTTTGTTTTCTAATATGTATTATATATTTATTTGTTTGGAACTTGGATTGCTTGGATTTTGGACTCAAAAGTTGTTTAATTATTACATTTTATTTGTTTGGATATTTTGTTTTGTTAAAATAGATATTTAATCTAAAATTCTAAATTATATATGTTTTTTAAGTTTAATTTAAAGTCCATTAAAAGCCCAAACCGTCTAAACCAGTCAGACCAGCCCGTTTTTTCGTGGTTTGGGTTGACCGGTCTGGCACTTGATGTCAAACATCTCGGTTTGAAAATTTTATAAACTGTCATTACGGTTTGGTTTGTGGTCTGAGGGGTTAAACCGCCCAAACCGGACCACGAGCACCCCTAAAAAAAAAAAACTGAAAAACATCATGGTAACCTTTCATCTGAAAGGCATACACACGTGCATACAAATAATTTGTAAGCAATTTATCCTCTATATGCATATGCATAACGTGTATAAAAATCAAAAAACAGCTTCAATTTACACCTGGCATTATATATATATATATATATATAGAGAGAGAGAGAGAGAGAGAGAGAGAGAGAAAAGATATATACACACACAAACCATTTGTTTCTTTTGGCTTATAATTTACATCTTCGGTTGTTATTCCTTTATACGTAACAAAGACACTTAGACTCTCCATGTAAACACTTCGGAAATCGTAACTTCATCTGTACGTTTGGTTTGCACCATTCCTACAGACAGCTTAATGAACCTGGATCTGTTCAGAACCGCCCAATTCCTTTGTCGGAATTGGAATCGGAATTTTCTGAACAGCATCATGACATCGGAGCCACAAGCAAGAAAGTCTAGCCATGGCCGCCTGACTCGCAAACTGTGCCCTACAAACCAAGCTCAATTCCGCTAGAATGTAGTTGTCAAAACTCTCATTGTAACCCTCGAGATCCGATTCTGCTACCAACACAACGGCTGCATCATCAAACGGTTCAAAATCCAATTTGGGTGTGAAGGTCGAGACCTTTGGGTGTTCTTTTATTCTAAGATGGTAGTCTTGAACAGCCCGCCACTGGGATGCGGCTAACCGCACCCTTGGTCGAATCGACTTCACGTATTCGTATGCAGCATCAGGTGTCATCTGCTTGTGCTTCACCTGTTTCCAAAACAGATTAATTTTTAAATCAAATGAACTAAGGTCATGTTTGTCAAAATGGCTGAATAGCTAGATTGGCTGACAAGCTAGCAGATTAACTAGTTGACAATGTAAAATGACCTAAAGAGACATGCTGAAAAATTATTTTGGACGACATAATTGGAAGAAAAAGAAGTGGAAAAGAAACCCCTGGAGCTTATTAAACCGCTACTTGTAGTAGTTCTTTAAAAGCAAGTTTACAAGTCACTTTATGACTCACCAAACGGGGCTTTTAGTTGTCGAAAATGGGTTGCGGGTATCAGAGATTTGAAGTTGAAATGGTTACCAAGTAACAAAGAACGACGGTTGTACTTCGCCCCCGCCCAGCCTTACAATGGACGTATGTTGTTTTGCCAGCAAATGCATTCTCTTCACAAATGAATAACAACATCATAATACGCTCAACTCAACGAGTCCGAATGGAACTTGGTTTAAAATACATGTTCATACCATGGATGAACTCCACAGCCTTGCAAATATCGTCATATGATGGAGCAAATAGATAATCTCGTGTCGGAATCACCAAATGATCAATTCCTTGAGCCTATAATTGAAACAGATTAGCCAAAAAGATTGAAAAATGACGAGAAAAGCTCGATGACCACCTCAACAAGATGACAATTCCGATCATACAAGTATGAATCAAGGTAAATATCTAAGAGCATCTCCAACAAATTCTCCAAAACGAAGATTTTGAGGATTTTTGCTCCAACAGATTCCCCAAAACCTTTGCCAGAATGTTGATTTTGAAGCTTTTATCCTATTTTTGTTTCTCCAACCGATCCTCCAAAAATGGAAAAAGTCGGAGAGAGGGGATAAAAATCCACTTATTGTTCCCACCAATTAAATGGTGGAAGTTTGTCGGGGTATTAAATGTATTAAATATTTTAATAAGATAAGCTACACAAATGAATACGAGATCATAAGTGGGCATACATACATGATAGAGTGACGTTGGAACCAAAGTCTCGTATGATTCATTAAGTGTAACGACGCCATTAACGCCAAGTTCCTTCAAGCGTAAAACATCAGTAGGAAACGGTACGGCACCTAACAATATGAACTGTTCATGAAATTATCGTTAGTATTGCTGCAATGCAGTAAGAAACCATAAGAAATCCATAACTCAATACCTTAAATTCAGCAAATTTAAATCAAAAGTTGATGAGAAACGCGAGAAGAAGCGCGCACACAATAATTTGCAAGAATCAGCGATTTTGGAGAAATTCTACAAAATCTTTGTTTCGGAGTCGATAAATTATACGGCCTCTAAAACCCGGGGGAAGTTTAAGAGAGATGGTTTTTATCCAAAAGCACTTAATCTTACACAAGACTCCCTCCGTACCAAATTAATTGTCCATATTTATATTATAGTTTGTCCCAAAATAAGTGTCCACTTTCAAAAGTAAGTTGTCACTTTCCCAATCTACCCTTAATTATGAGATGGAGAAAGTTTGTCTCCCTATTATCAAGGGTAAAAGTGTCATTTAGTTATCTAAGAAGTGTAATTACACATACATAAAACTATGTGTCATTTACATTGTAGACATTTACTTTAGGAGGGAGTATTGTGTTTACAATTCCTATGCCAACAAAAAATCCATGTACAACGGTTCAAGGAGATCAAATCACTCTATTCTTAGAAGACCACGATGCCATCATTGAACTAACGAACAATTAACGATGTTGCAAGGCGGGATAAAAGTGTACGGCACATGGATGCCATGATTCGGATATTCTATTTTAAATAATTGTCGACACAAGGATGCATCTCAACACGTGTGTAAATGTGTGCACACACACACACAAAGATGTATACACACACACACACACGTATGCACGAATATGAAACTCGGGGTCAGTTCAAATAAGAGGCTAGATATCATGAGAAGGTAAGAAAGGGACGATAAGAAGGCTTCATATGTGAATTATTGAAAAAAAAAATCCGAAAAAATACATTTGAAGGTGCATATGTAAATTATTCTTATGGGTTCATCTCCAAATGGAATTTTTTTCAATGATTCACAGTTGAACTTTCCCTTAACCTTCTCTTCTTACCTTCTCATAATATTTAGCTTCTTATTTGAACCTCCGACTATGAAACTAATAGAAAAGTTAACATACAATTGATAAAGTACAAACATACTTAAGAAAACCAACCAAACGAGCTCAGTATATCCCACGAGAAGTGGGATCTGGGAGGGGTAAGATGTACGCATACCTCTGCATACCCCTCCTCTGCCATAAAGAATAACAGGGCAGCTGTTTCAGTAAAAAGATTAATCATGTTCCTAGGGGTTGTTTGTTTACCTCTTAATAGTTCCATAACCAAAAAAAGGTGCTTGTTTACCTCTTACGTTCTTAGGCAGCTGAATCGCTAAGAGGTGAATCTTGTTTGACAAAAAAAAAAGTCTGCCTCCTAATGGTTCTAAAATCCTCTGAATGATTTTGTATCTTGGATTTCCCTTAACCATTAAGAGCCCTAATTTCATTGTACACAATTACCAAACAATTATATTTCCAAACAATTATATTTCATTTTACACTATATCATGAGAGCCTCTTAATTATTCTATTCTGACCACTTAATCATTCTGCATCAAACCATTCCGCAATTGCCAAACATTTTTACTTGCAATGCACATATTAGTCCAAATTATCAAGAAAAAGAAAATTCTTAATGTTGTCCACCATGAACTTTTTGAAGAGAAATGATCCTAGTCAAGCCAACGCGGACCTCAGCATGCGGAGAGCGTAGATTTCCCATAGTTATACCGACACAAGCTAGTAGGACGGAGTCCTGAACCAGCTCTGATACCATGTAAGAATATATGTGAGTCCCGATAGATTAGTCTCCAAGAGCCGACATATACCGGGAGAAATGGTCCAAGTCTCCCCAATTTGGGGCTCAAAAACAATATTCTACTTGATGATTAGAATGACACAACAAAAGTAGTAATTGGGGCTCATACCTGATCAATCCTATCCCACCACCGGAACTCGTTTTGAATCTTGTTTCTGACAACATTATACAACAACGTTGGATAAAACAGAGCACGAGCACCTGCTCCGACCAACACCCTTTTCGTATTGGAGACCACCACTGCACCATCGCCGGAAAATTCAACATACACATCCCGACACCCATCACCATCGCCATCGCCATCGCCACCCTCTTTCAGTTCCTCAATATACATCTCTACAAAACACAAATTTCACCAAAACCCCACCTACTTTCAAGAAGAGATCCTCAATTAGAAGAAATTATCAAAATCAAGCCCTAAATCTCAAATTTCATCCAACGAAAACCCCATAAAATCAAACGAATTCCCGATACTTAATCTCTAATTTCATCGACGGAGAATCGAACACGAACCATTCAAGAACATAATCAGGCCATGAATTCACATGTTTTTGAACAACATCGAGAAAAAAGGTAGGGAAAATCGATGGGAAACTCGGAGGAGACGAACACCTGGATTGAAAAGAAGTAAATAAGAATGAATTGATTTTTTCAACGGCAAGCAAAGGTGAAACGATCAAACTGTAAGCGTTACGAAAAAAGGAAGGAGGTATAATTGTGTTGTAGAATGGATTTGATTTCTTGCAAATTGAACGAAAGAACCCTAAAAACGCCCTTTTCTCTCTCTGGGATTTCTGTCTGTTTCTTTCAACCCCAACAAACTTTTTCAGCAATCAAAGTAGTGGGTGTGCGAAGAAAAGTGAAATTGGGGGAAATCACAAAGGAAGGGATGTGATGTATTCTTTGTAAATCCGCCATTAATGGAAACTCGTGTAATATTTGTATTTTCTTGATTATGAAATCTTTTTATTAATTTGTTTTATAGAAATTTGCAAATAAATTAATTTTATTCTTTTTTCAACTAAGATTGCTTCAAAACAATGAAAGTTTTATTTTATTTTTAAAATATAAAAAATATATGAATTTATGGTTGGGCTTTGAAAACCGTTTATAACGCAGTCAACTGATTATTAATTCTACCAAGATTTGTAAACCAGTCATGATTATAGCTGACTTTTAGCATTTAACTATAACTGATCCTGATGTAAGAATATATGACTAAAAAGATACTGTAATCTAACTAAGCTTAATGTCAGGGCTTAACAATCCACGCTTCTTAAGCTCGGAACTGGTCTTGGACATTCACTATAATTCAAATTTCAACACATCTGAGTTTTATCTTTTTATGTGAATCCTAACATGTCTAAAAATATTCTACAAATTTCATTTACCTATTTAAGCCTTAAATCTTGATATTTTTCCTTTTTGAATTCTGAATAACAGTAATACTTCATCGCTCTCGGTTTCTTTTAGTATTTCTTTAAACTCAATGTCGTATATGTATGAATTGCATTAACACAGTGATACCTAACCACTTGTAACATAATGTAAGAAGACCTACAAGACTACTTGAATATTTCTTTTTCAAAGATACATTTATCATAAACTTTTGTAACACCCCAAGATCCACATTTGCATATAATCATGTATTTCATATATCAAGAAATACAAATATATATAAATATATATATATATATATATATATATATATATATATATACAGACACACACACACAAAAGCTACATTATAAAAGTAGGTACCAAAGTTTTCCATAAAATCTTTATACAAAACTTGTACTCATAAACAGCATGCAGGTACAATTAACAGCACATTATCCCATAATCCATATGCAAGCAATCATATATTTCTTCATAAATTTCTCTTTTTCCTTATCAACTGGTTGTCTGACCTGTAATGCACATTTTAAAACACCAAAATGAGGGTTAGACCTTGAGGTCTAGTGAGAAATTTCTTTTATGCAATTACAAGATGAATATCACCAAAACCCTTTTATAAAACTCATATTTGTAATAAATGACAAATATATAATGTTTTGACAAAATAACCCTTTTTTTGCCACATCAAACCACAAAATACCCATTTATCACATAATACATGAACTCAATGCTTCATATAAAACAAACCATATTTTCTTCATAACACCTTGGTTGAGACAATCTCATTTTCGCAAAACACACTGGTGCGGGAACCCATCTCATCGCAACACACTGGTGCGATCAACACACATTGGGTGAGATTACCCCATTTCCTCGCAACATGCTGGTGTAGGAACCCATCTCATCACAACACGCTGGTGCGATCACTACACACTTCATCGCATCAAAGCCCAGAGGCAAGACCAACCAAAGCCCCTCTAGACTCACCGACCAAAAGCAAGGCCAACCAAAGGCCCTCTCGTCAACCAGAGCCCCTCTGGTCAACCAGAGCCTCTGGTTCGTCTATCCAAAACCTCTTGGTCAAAAAAATGTTTAATACTTAAAGATTTGGTTTCAAATACATCCAGAGACCCTATGTTTAAACATTAAGATCAACCACAGCCCCCCTAGTTCCTTTATCATAGATTTGAATATTTTTCCAAGGTTCAAATAAACAACCAGAAGCAAAGTCATCCAAACGACAGACTAACCAGAGGTCGTCTGGTCCTTAAAGCAATAACAAGTTTGTTAGGACCAAAATTGTCCTAAATAACATGAAAGTTTTATTAAAGCAACTTGGGCCAAGAATGGAAGTCTGCAGACTTATATTTAGAGATCAGAACTATGCTTACAAGACTAAGTCTAAATCTGCAGGCTTGTCTTCGGAGATCTGAAAAAGAAGACTTCAGAGTTCGGGTGAGCTTCTAAGGCGTACAAGTACAAGTCTGAAGAGTCATCTTTCAGAGTTATTTCAAGAGAAGACCCGAAAAGCATCTAAGTGTTAAATCTGAATACGAAGTCTGAAGACCTTGTGTTCAGAGTTATTAATACCCAGGACCAGATTCCCTCTAGTCTTACCAACCAGAGCATAACCAACCAAAAGTAAGTCCAACAAGGCCAACCAGAAGCAAGGGTCAACTAGAGGCCTTTTGGTCTTACCAACCAGAGCCTCTGGACAAGAAATGGTTAACCACTTGAAAAGATTTTGAATTTCAAATATAACCAGAGGCCCTCTGTTTAAACATGAAGAGCAACCAGAGCTCCTCTGGTTCCTCAACAATTGTTCACTTTATCAAAACCACAACTTATCGCATCAATAGGATGTAATAACCACAAGTCCTCGCATCACACAAATGCGATAACTCAAGGTCATCGCATCACAAGGATGAGATAACAACAACTTCTCATCAAAAACCTAGATTTTACGATTTCATTGCATCCATCCCAAATTCATCACATTATACAGACCACTCAGAAGTAAGGTCCTCCCAGTAGAAGGCCACCCAGAAGCAAGACCCTCCCAGTAAAAGGTCATCTCAATCGCAAGGCCATCCTAGTATAAGGTCACCCAGAAGCAAGACCCTCCCAATAAAAGGTCATCTCAATCGCAAGACCATCCCAGTAGAAGGCCACCCAGAAGCAAGACCCTCCCAGTAAAAGGTCATTCCAATCGCAAGGCCATCCTAATAGAAGGCCACCCAGAAGCAAGACCCACCCAGTAAAAGGTCATTTCAATCGCAAGGTCATCCCAATAGAAGGCCACCCATAAGCAAGACCCTCCCAGAGGCCCTCTAGTCAATCAGAGATCCTCTTGTCCTTCTGATCAAGTATTCACTTCATCGTATTAATAGTGCGACAACTCAAATTTATCGCATCACACAGATGCGTTAACCCCAAGTTATCACATCACACTAATGCGATAATAGTATCCATGATCAAGATAACATCATTTTCATAAATTGATTATACCACCTCTATCCCAATATACTCAGCTCCTTGATATGCCACCCTTATTTCCACACTTAAAATCCCTCTTGCCAGTTTTATACCCAGTATCCAAATAAGAAAAGCTTTAAACAAAAACTCACCATCATACTAAAAATAGTACATAATCGTTCAAAAACACCCAAGTACGAAGCCATACGGTTCGTTATTAAAACCATATCAAAATGAAGTCTAAAGTAAAACTTACAATTAAAAACTCACCTTATGATCACAAAAATGAAGATGAACAATAGCACGTATTCAAATTATAATCACAGAATCAACTTCTACTTCTCCCCCTTTATGGTTCTGGTTTCTCTCAAACTTTAGAACACATAAGTTTTTATTTCTTTTTCTCCAAAATCAATGAGATCAGATAAACATCTTATTACTCATTTTAAATATTAAGAGGCGGTGGGGTGATTGATATTTAATATATATATATATATATAGGGGCAGGTTCAAATGTGAACCGTCCAATTCTAAAAAA